GACCACTAACATCAGAGAGTGATGTTTTGCATTAAATAACCATCGTTTATAAAGCAACATCCTTCATGTAAACCCTTGTGGTAAGGAGATGTCAGAATGTTTTCTCTTATAAACCACTTAATTCCCCTTGGTGGATATCATCAATCCTGCCATCCAAAACTAGCTGGGTAATGAATGCCAACAAATGCAGTGAGCCAACTGTATGCCATCGCCTCAGAAGGTCAAGTTAATCTATTTTTAAATAACACAGCCAATGGCAAAGGGTGGCCACCGGAAACAACGGGCAAGTTGGGTTGTCTATCCTTGCATTGTTTTTTGTAAGAGCTGTAAAGTGTTCCACAGTGTAGCCTAAAAATATCCCTCTGAGAGTGGTCTTTTGGCACCAAGAACAAAAACAGATTGATTTTTGGAAGTTTAAGTTAAAAAAAATGTTTCATTAAATTTTAAATGTTTTTCCAATAATTTTTAAGTGTCCTAAATTTTATCTCATTTTACCTATTTTTAGAACTTTATGTGCATATTTAGTATACTACCTTTATTTCTGGATAAGTAATATTTTTAACAAAAGCTGTTCTTCATCTTACCACCTACAATCTAGAGAAAAATAACTCATTTCTTTTGTAGTCGTCAACAGTTTTTGGGATTGACTGTTGCTTTGGATGACAATGGGGAAGCTGAAGGTCAGATGTTCTGGGATGATGGACAAAGCATTGGTGAGTATGAACTTTCCAGCGTTCCTAAATGTCATTCAGAAAAAACTGTACCATAGTGGCTTAGCATATAATTAGCATCAACTGGAAATCTATCTCTGTTTCTGCTACTGTCAATGGGGTTTGAAGAATTTTTACAGCTTTGCCTGCTCATGTATATTATACTATAACTATTATAGACCAGCTATGGTCCCCAGCTTTGTAGGTACAGGAGCCTGATGTTATGGATTTATGATCTGTCTCTGTATAACTGTATCACTCTGATTTAAAAAAAAAAGTGTGAATGCAGATATAAAGCTGTTAGTTAATTCATTCTCAATGGGCTGCACACATGACTTTATTACTTAGGCCAGCCATCTAAACCAGGCATTCCTTTTCTCAGAAGTAGGCCCACTCAGGAGACAATGCAGAGCCTAAAAAATTTCTTGATGCCTCATAAATGGAGAATTAAGTATTGCCAAAAGGGTATTGATATTCGTGAAATGTCACTTCGTATGCTTTCTTTGCCCAGCAGAGGTAGAATATGCTAGTTCTATCTTAAATAAGTGGGATTTGTCATTATAATCAGAACACCCTCTTCCTCAGACATTTTTGTAGAAATTCTAACACATTGTTACCAACTGACTCTCACTTTTC